GTACTATATCTGTAATGGTTCAGGTGTTGTTAGATATACTGTACTATATCTGTAATGGTTCAGGTGTTGTTAGATATACTGTACTGTATCTGTAATGGTTCATGTGTTGTTAGATATACTGTACTTGGTTCAGGTGTTGTTAGATATACTGTACTGTATCTGTAATGGTTCAGGTGTTGTTAGATATACTGTACTATATCTGTATTGGTTCATGTGTTGTTAGATATACTGTACTATATCTGTAATGGTTCATGTGTTGTTAGATATACTGTATCTGTAATGGTTCAGGTGTTGTTAGATATACTGTACTGTATCTGTAATGGTTCATGTGTTGTTAGATATACTGTAACGGTATCTGTAACGGTTCATTTGTTGTTAGATATACTGTAACGGTTCATTTGTTGTTAGATATATACTGTAACGGTATCTGTACTGTTTCCTGTGTTGTTAGATATACTGTACTGTATCTGTAATGGTTCATGTGTTGTTAGATATACTGTAACGGTTCATTTGTTGTTAGATATACTGTAACGGTATCTGTACTGTTTCCTGGGTTGTTAGATATACTGTACTGTATCTGTAATGGTTCATGTGTTGTTAGATATACTGTAACGGTATCTGTAACGGTTCATTTGTTGTTAGATATATTGTACCTGTATCTGTACTGGTTCATGGGTTGTTAGATATACTGTACTTTTAATAAAATTCTCAACACCTGTAAATCCTGTTAAATATTCTCGTAATTATGTAATGTTCCTTTTTTTGTACCAAAGAGTGATCAGCTAGCAGCAAGTCTCTTAGAGCTTGGACTGAGACCTGGAGAACGTCTGGCAATCTGGAGCTCCAACTGTTATGAGTGGGTTCTAACTCAGCTGGCTGCAGCTAAAGCAGGACTAATACTAGTAAGGACACTTATTCTGATATAATCCTAAAACAATATCATAGAACATATCTTGAGATATTTATGTTTTCATAAACATAAAATATATGAGTTACACTTTTCATCTGAACCATAAAGTAAATAAACTAAATATTTCTTCTGGAACATATACTAGTTTAATTGAATCATATACTCAAAGATTTGTTTAACATAAGCTTACTTTTATATGTTAGGTTCTGTTAACATCAACACTGCCTATCTCCCAACGGATTATATCTTTATAACACAGGATTTTTGTGTTACGTTTTCTGTTCCAGGTCAATATCAACCCTGCCTTCATGCCTTCTGAACTAGAATACTGTTTAAACACGGTAAGATGTCATAGTTTGTTTGGTAGAATACAAGAGTGTTGTAAAAGCTGTAGTTAGTAAAAATGTTGAATAAAACAAAACAAATAAAGTGACAGGTAAACAACGTGTAAAAATGGCTAGAAAAGATAGCATGTAACGTTTGTGTAAAGATGGCATGTAACCTCTGTGTTAAAGAAGATGAGAGTGTATATAGTTAATTGGTGTTGATGCAAGATCTTTCAACTACTGTATAGCTGATCCAGCGCTCTATTGTATAACTGATACACCACCCTATGGTATAACTGATCCATAGCCCTATTGAATAGTTGATCAACCACTCTATTATATAACTGATCCAGCACCCTATAGTATAACTGATCCATAACCCTTCTGTATAACTGATCCACCACTCCATTTTGTAATTGATCCATAACCCTATTGGATAGTTGATCCACCACTTTATTGTATAAATGATCCTCCACCCTATGGTATAACTGATCCATTAGGCTATTGGGTAGTTGATCCACCACCCTATTGTATAACTGATCCATAACTCTATTGGATAGTTGATCAACCACTCTATTGTATAACTGATCCACCACCCTATAGTATAACTGATCCATACCCTACTGTATAACTGATCCACCACCCTATTTTGTAATTGATCCACAACCCTATTGGATAGTTATTCTATAACCCTTTTGAGTAGTTGATCGTTCACGGTATTGGATAACTGATCCACAACCCTATTGAATAACTGATGCATAACCCTATTGGATAACTGTTCCACCACCCTATTGTATAGTTAATCGTTCACCGTATTACATAACTCATCCACCACCCTATTGTATAACTGATCCATAACCCTATTGGATAACTGATCCACCACACTATTGTATAACTGATTGTTGATCCTTCATCTTTCTGAGTTATTCAACCCCAGAATCCTGTTGACTATGTGCAATTGTAAAATAGTCAAAATGTATGTTTCTGATTTTGATGTTTTTATTCCAAACTTAAACTGTCATATCTAAACGTGCATTACCTTTGAGCATATTTAAAAATATTCAAAAAAGTTTTCGTAATTTCTTATTCTAAATAAAAACCACGATCTGTGAGCAAGCTAGTGCTTAGACTGTTATATATAGTTTGTTTACTACTAAAATACTAAATACAAACTCTTTATATTATTTACAACATCTTACTACGTTGAACGACCTTTCACGTATAAAATTAAAACAAAAACTACGCCTGAAAATATTAACGAACTGTTTTCCCTTTGTAGACCTCTTGTAAAGCCCTTATTGCTGCAGAATCCTTCCGAAAACGAGATTCTTTCCAAGTATTGTGTTCTGTTTTACCAGAGATCACAATATCCAAACCAGGCGAGATTAAAAGTAGCAGGTAATTTAAAGTACAATAGATCACAAAGTCGAAACCAGGCCAGATTAAAAGTAGCAGGTAATTTAAAGTACAATAGATCAGAATGTTGAAACCAGGCCAGATTAAAAGTAGCAGGTAATTTAAAGAAAAATAGATTAGAGTGTTTAAACAAGGCCAGATTCAAACTACCAGGTAATTTAAAGTACAATAAATCAGAATGTTTAAATCAGGCCAGATTAAAAGTACCAGGTAATTTAAAGTACAATTAATCAGAATGTTTAAATCAGGCCAGATTAAAAGTACCAGGTAGTTTAAAGTACAATAGATCATAAAGTCGAAACCAGGCCAGATTAAAAGTACCAGGTAATTTAAAGTACAATAAATCAGAATGTTTAAATCAGGCCAGATTAAAAGTAGCAGGTAATTTAAAGTACAATAAATCAGAATGTTTAAACCAGGCCAGATTAAAAGTACCAGGTAATTTAAAGTACAATAAATCAGAATGTTTAAATCAGGCCAGATTAAAAGTAGCAGGTAATCTAAAGTACAATAAATCAGAATGTTTAAATCAGGCCAGATTAAAAGTAGCAG